TCATCATCTTCAAATTCGTCATCGTCATGGTCATCGTCGTCGGTGGCGGCATCATCATCATCATCATCATCATCATCATCATCATCATCATCATCAGCAGCACCATGAGCAGCAGCAGCATCATCATCAACAGCAACATCAGCAGAATCATCATTATCATCATCATCAGCATCATCAGCATCGTCATCGTCAGCCGCAGCATCATCATCATCATCAACAGCATCATCAGCAAGATCATCCTTATCATCACCGTCGTCGTCATGGTCATCGTCATCAGCATCAGCATCATCAACAGCAGCAACATCAACATCATTGTTATCTTCATCAGCAGCAACCATCAGCATCATCAGCAGCATTAGCATCATCATCATCAGCAGCATCATCATCGTCGGAATAATGCTGATGTCGATCGGCATTACCAGAATCATCATCATCATCAACATCATCATCATGATCGTCAGCAGCATCATCATCATCATCATCGCCAGCAGCAGCATCGCCAGCAGCGGCATCACCACCGTCGTCGTCGTCATTGTCATCGTCATCACCATCATTATCAGCATCGTCATCATCAACACCATCATCCCTATCATCAGCAGCAGCAGCATGAACATCATCATCATCATCATCATGCTCTTGTCGATCGATATAGCCATCATCACCATCGCCGCAATTGCTATCAATCGTGCTTTCCAGCAGAAGCGGGATGTGCGACCTGCGCAGACGTTGCCTGAATTGTATCTCCTAAAAGCCTGGACATACAACTCATCACATAATTGGACCACCCACCTCTCGGGCGACTCCCAAGAGTCTGCAAGGGGGGGAGGGGGAGGGGGGGCCACTGCAACAGAACATCCGCTGAGAGCCGATGTCTCTGGCGCACTCGGGGGGGGTGGGGGGGGGGGGGGCGGCGGAGCGGCGGCGGGGCGGGGGAGAGGGCGGGGCAGGAAGAACGGCGGAGGAATCCAATGAGGTCACTCCGCTTCCACACGTACCAGGCGCTGGTCGCCCTCGTTCTCCAGATAGAGGCGCGTCCGCCGCGTCGGAGGTGCGCCCGGGAGGGCCGCGCCCGCCCACGCAAGACCCCCGAGCAGGTGGCGGGAATGGGCGGCAGCCCTGTCACAGTGCAGGAGCACCCTGGTGATGACTGGCGGTTGCGTTCTCCAGCAGCCAGGCGCGCGAGCCGGCGATCAAACGCCCATCGAGCTTCACAGCTGGGCGAGCGCGCAAAAAGCGGCGCAGGGCACTGACCTGATCTTCTGGTCATGCCGACGGCGCTGCAGTTCGACTCTGCGCGCATACAATTCCCCACAAGCCGCCCAATAACTGATAACGTAAAGGTGCTACCAAATCTCCGCTGGTTGTGCCTCCGCGCCGCCCTTCTATGGTGCCAGCGCGAAGGACAAGACGGAAACGCCATGATACTTGCACACGCTCGCATCGATGATCTGTTGAGCATGCGCCACTGCGATGTCAAGCGAAATCAGCTATACATGAATTAACTCCCCGATACCAACTCACTCCGAACACGCGTCTAAGACCCGCGCTATTCGCAAATTCGTACTGTACTCGTGCACTGCAAAATACAAGCGGTAGCACGAACGCATCCTCCCACGCCCGCGCAGAGGTCTATACGGCGTTCAATCATGAGTGTAGCGCGCTCGCTCGAAAAATGTTCATGAGGCCAGGCTCTGGATGTGCAATGCACTGGAAAACATACTATTCAATACTGGTGATAGAGCAAATTCGACCCGATCCGTTCGGAATGGGGAGCGGGCAGGAACTCTTTGGGCTGCCAGCAGCACTCTAGACAAGCATCATCGACGCCGCACTGCAGGCTCGATGTTCCAGGGCTCGAGCTGAACAGTGGTTTCGTGCTGTCTTCGCTTTCCCTCGTTATGGATTCGTTCCACCTTTGCTGCAAAACGATACCAAAACGAAGACGACCCACGAAATCGAAAAAAAACAACAAGAACAAATATAATTATAAGAATACTAAGAATACTAATAATAATAATATTTGAGAAAATGAGAAAAAAAAACAAAAAAAAAAAAAAAAAAAAAAAAAAAAAAAAAAAAAAAAAAAAAAAAAAAAAAAAAAAAAAAAAAAAAAAAACGACAGCCCATGCGGCAACTCTCCGTCGCCCTGTCGTTTCTCACGAGCCACGTCCACGCCGCAGGGCCAGGGGTGGGGGGGGCCGGGAAGGGGGGGCACGCGCCGCTCCTGGAAGCGCCAGCGGCCCTAAGAGGGCCCTGCCCCGACCTGTGGCCGCCGCGGTCGCCGCGGCGACCTTCAAGACCGACCCAGAGGTTCAGTTCGGGGCCAGATCTCACGCAACGATGCTCCAGAGTTCGTCATAGAGGGAAGGGGGGGTCTCATTTCGGGGGGGGGGTCTCTTCCAGGCTCTCTTGGAGGGCCTGGGGGGGTCTGGGGGCGATGTTTTGGGGGGTTCTCCCACGGGGGGAGGTCCGAAATGGCTTGTCTTGGAGGGTCCAGACCCCCTCCCTTTTGTTACGAAATCTGGAGTAGACAAGCGCGTTCCACTACTGGCAAACTAAGCACTCGCAAATGGCCTGGGTACGCCGCGCGGGATCTACGACATACTACATCCATGCAGCCATGTGTTTGGGGGGACGTTTGCGAGTAGGCACCTTGCGAGAAGTGGAACGCAAACGAGCTGCGGAGCATCGGCGATGCATCGGCGACGTCGGCGATGCCTCGGCGGCGTCAGCGCGAAGAAAATCGGGCCCCGCATCGAGCCGCATCGCCGATGCATCGTCGATGCGGCGCGATCCTCCGACCCCACCTGTCGAGTGTTGCTAGAGGTGCCCTTGGCTCAAGGTGCCCCCAGCTTTTCGCTCAATTTTGGAGCCCCTGCGGCCCTCTGGGTCCCGTGAGGGCTGCTCTGGAGGCCGTGGGGGCCTCCTTGGAAATCCCGAGGGCACCTTGGGCCAGGGGGCACTTCTGGCAGCATCCGAACCTGCTTCGACACCCTCTGGGAGGCCTCGAGCACCACGCAACGAGCTGCGGAGCCAGCGGCCGGGGGCCGCAGCGCCTCTCAGCCGAGCAGCGGCGCCGTGGCCGCCCCGCGCGGGCCCCGCCCGCCCTGCCGGCGGCGCCAGCCGAGCACGGCCAGCAGCAGCGGCGCGTACGCTGCCGCGGCGGCGAGGAGCGGCGGCGGCCGCTGGAGCGCGCCAGCGGTGGCGCTGCCTCGCGTCGTCGTCGTCGTCGACATGCTCGTCGTCGTCGTCGCTGTTGTCGTCGTCGTCGGCGTCGGCGTCGCTTTCCTCCTCCTCATCCTCCTCCTCTTCCTCCTCCTCCTCTTCCTCGTCGTCGTCGTCGTTGTCGTCGTCCTCGCCGGCGGTGGCGCTGCCTCTCCAGCGCCGTTCCAAGGGCGGGGCTGCGTACAGGACGGTGCCGTCGTGGGCGCGAAGGGAGACCTCGCGAGCGGCGAACATGACGGATCGATCTAGCCGAGACTGGCATCGAACTGGATCGGTCTGATCGAAATGGGGCCTACCACGACGACGCCGACGGCGCCGACGACAACTACCCAACTCACGAGCGGCGAACATATCCGTATCCATCGCGGTCTGGATTCTGGGGCACGATCCCGCGGATACGGTCGCGCGGATACGTTCCGCGCGGGGCATCCGCGGAAGAAAGCCCCGTATCAGCGGGGTCGCAGCACAGGGGACCGGCCCGCGAGGCCACGGATACGAATATGTTTTTCGCCTGCAAAGACCTCCATGGTCTCCGCCCCGAAGGCGAAGGCGGCGAAGCCGCCGTGGACCGCGAAGCCCGTTGGCGGCTGGCTCATATTGCCCTCCGCGCCGGCGAGCATGAACCGCAGGGCCCCTGGCGGCGTGCCCTCCAGGTTCACTGGAGGGTAGCAGCACTCTTTGCCGGCCCCGACAACGAACGTGTTCAGCCCTTCATACACGAAGTGCTCCAGCATGTGGTCGTGACCGCTAAGGTAGTGGGCCCCGTGCTCCACCAGCATCGGTCGCAGCCGGTCGATGAGGCACTGGGAAGAACCGTCAATGCCCGCGCTCCAGATGGGGTAATGACCTGCCACCAGCAGGAAGTCGGCCGTGCTCTTGCGGAGCTCTCCTTCGAGCCACGCCCACTGCCGCTCCGCAACTGCCTGCCTCAGCCAGCCGGGCCTCCCCGCATCCGCTGGCCGCCCCAAGAACTGCAGCTGCTCGTCGATGAAGGCCTCATTCCGCTGCCCATTGCCGCAGAGCACGACGGTATCGATCATCAGCACATCCAGGGATCGTTGCTTGCCGTCAGCGCTGAACCCCTTCTGAATTTTGTACCATAACGACGGAAAGTGCCACTGCGCGGACAGCTCGCTGTAGGCCAGCTGCGAGGACACGTTGGCCATCTCGAACTCGCCGTAGTCGTGGTTGCCCGCGCAGACGTAGAAGGGAACCCCGGGCTGCTGACGGGCGTACACATCCTCGAACGTGTCGCGGAAGCGGCAGGACGACTCCGCGGGCTCGTCGATGCCGTGCTGGTAGAAGTTGTCACCCAGCAGGAGCGAGAAGTTCGCGCCCAGCCGGCACGCCGCGTCCGTCAGGCCCGCCGCCGTCTCCAGCTGGCTCTCGGTGGTCGGCTCCTGGCTGCTCTGGCCGCCCCAGTCGCCGATGGCCACGAAGGCGAGGCCGTCGCCGGCGCGGGACGCGCAGGCGGAGGCGGCGGGCATGCCTCAGGGGCGGGGCTGGGGCGTGCGGGGCCCGCGCGCCCAACGCCTGGGCGGGGAATGGCCCGCAGACCGCACCGCCCGACTGTCGTGAGGGCTGGGGCCAAGATGGTCGGCTGCGGAAGACATCACGTTGGGTAGAGGAGGCCCGCCGTGCGATTCACACCTGAGTTGACCGCCCTATCAGTGAACTTGCCCCCCGATGGCCAGCGATCTGCGTTCCGATGGCCTCCGTGCTGACCACAACCTCAGTCTTCTCCAACGGAAGCGAACATCCAAACACGGACTCCACCACAGCTTGGAGATCAGTGGACCCTCGAACGAGTTTGAAAACGACCCTGTAGATGTCACTGTCGAGATCTGGCTGTGGAACAGGACTGTTATATCTCGTCGGGGCCAGAAACCGTCATGAACGAAGTGGTCATAAATCAAGCAGCTATCACCCCGTTAAGCCAGTCAACGAACTATGGGTCAAAGGCATGGGCTTTCAAGCCAACTGACTAAGCCAACTGCCTAAACTGAGGAATCTGCCACAATTGTCGGCGTAAACGCATAAGAGGAGACGGAAGAGGACGACAAGGAGAAGGAGAATAGAGGAGGCAGAAGAGATGAAGCAGGAGGGAGGAGGGAGGATGAAGAGAGAGGAAGGAAGGAGAGGGAGGAGGGAGGAGGGAGGAAAGAGGAGGGAGGAGCCACGAGGGAGGATGTGGGAGCGAGGAGGTAGGAAGGAGGATGCAGGGAACGGGGAGCAGGAAGGACGAGTCCTTGTCGCCGCCGCCGCCGCCGTCGCTGCCGCGACGGCGACAACGACAGCGAGGAGGAGGGAGAAGGTCAGTCGGGCCCAGCTCCGAGGGGCCAGCCCTGTGCTGCCTGGCAATCCGGCGTGCGCCCCGCGCAGGGCGACCGCGCCCCGCCCCGCCTGCTCGATGGGTCATCTCCGTATCACCTCCTCCTCCTCCTCCTCCTCTCCTCCTCCTCCTCCTCCTCCTGCCTCCTTCCCCCCTCGTCCCCTCCCCTCCCCCTCCCCCCCCTCCTCCTCCTCCCTCCTCCTCCTCCTCCTCCTCCTCCTCCTCCTCCTCCTCCTCCTCCTCCTCCTCCTCCTCCCCAGGGATTGGGGGGGCCCACGGCCCGCGACAGCAGCGGCTGTAGCAGCCCGAAGACAAAAGAGGCTTCAGGGGCTGCAGAGGCTACGGTCGCCGTCGTCGTCGTCGTCGTCGTCGCCCTTGTCGTCGTCGTTGTCGCTGTCGTCCTCGTGGTCGTCGTCGTCGTCGTCGTCGCCGTCGCCGTCGCCGTCGCAGTCGTTGTCGTGGCTGTCGCCGTCGCCGTCGTCGTCCTGGTCGTGGTCATGGTCGTGGTCGTGGTCATTGTCGAGCTCGTCGTCGTCGTCGTCGACGTCGTCGTCGTCGACGTCGTCGACGTGGTCGAAATCCTCGTCGTCGTGGTCGTTGTTGTCGTCGTCGCCGTCGTCGTCGCCGCCGTCGTCAACGTGGTCGTCGTGGTCGTGGTTTTGGTCGTGGTTGTCGTCGTCGTCGTCGTGGTCGTGGTCGTGGTCGTGGTCGTGGTCGTGGTCGTCGCCGTCGTCGTCGTCGCGGCCGCCAGGCAATCCTCGAAAACGCGAGGGGCCCGCGCCAGCAGCGGCTGCAGGCGGGAGCACAGGTCGCGCATGGGCAACTGCCGCTTGCGCGCCGCGCCGAGCAGCGCAAGGATCTCGGCCTGGCGCCGCCGCCGCCGCCGTCGCGCAGTCGCCGTCGGCCCAGTCGTCGTCGTCGTCGTCGTCGTCGTCGTCGTCGCCGTCGTCGTCGCCGCCGTCGTCGTCGTCGTCGTCGCCCTTCTCGTCGTCGTTGTCGTCGTCGCGGTCGTCGTCGTCGTCGTCGTCGTCGTCGTCGCCGTCGACGGTCGTGGTCGTGGCTGTCGTCGTCGCCGCACATGATTGGCGAAAAGAGACGGGCCTTACGCGAGATGATACAGCGACCCCACGCGGTGGCCTACGCGGGCCGCGAGCGCGGCACTCTCCATCGGAAACGAAGGCGCTGACGCACGGCCCCGCGCGGGAAGCCATACGCGCGAATGCCCGCGCAGCCGAACCCTCTTTGAAGCGTCGATCATTTTAAACCAAGAAGCCATGTCTCGGCCCTGCAGTGCAGGCATCCAGTCGTTGTTGCTGGATTGTCGGTCCTTGCACGCACCCTCCAGCAGACGGCGACAACCGCGACGACGAGTGCTCTACTCGTCCCGCAGCTGCCCGTGCTGAGGCTGCAGCAACTGCCCATCAAACTACCAAATTGGCATGCTTGCTAATACTGGCTGGCGCTGCTGACCCAACCTCCGACGTCTCGATGTCCTCGAGTTAAAACTCCTGTAACTCTCGACCCCTTCTCTGGGGGCAGCGTTTCATCCAGAGTCTTGCGCATGTGTTTCCATGGCCACGAACCAGCTTCAGAATACCCTAAAGTATGAAAAGCATGCTGTCTCAACTTTTCCGAACCATGGGACGTCTGCGCACCGTATGCTACTACTACTACTACTACTACTACTACTACTACTACTACTACTACTACTACTACTACTACTACTACTACTACTACTACTACTACTACTACTACTTAACTACTACTACTACTACTACTACTACTACTACTACTACTACTACTACTACTACTACTACTACTACTACTACTACTACTACTACCCACTACTACTACTACTACTACTACTACTACTACTACTACTACTACTACTACCACTACCACCACCACTACTACTACTACTACTACTACTACTACTACTACTA